GCCCTGCCAGCCGCAGGCCTGCGGCCCCCGTGCCCCGCGGTGCCCGCCCCGCTAACTGGAGGGACCGCGTTGCCACTGGCAGTGGCTTTGCGCGTTGCTCGGGTCAAGAGTTGAGGATTCATCGGCAGTTCATTGATTGCCTGCTTAAAGTCACACCCAGCGTGTGGTTTAACCTTGTCCGAGGTTCGGTACCTCGGATCTCGCCTTTCTCTCCTAGCACTGAGACGCTGGTTCTGCCAGTTCTGCTTCTACCGAAATGCTGGGGGGATGTGCAGGCTCCCTTACGAAAACCTCTTCTCTTAAGCAGCCTAGTTTGCCTTGCAATCGGTTTTGGAGGTTTCAGTCTCAAGAGGTCGAGGTGATGGGGGACTCTTGGTCTCAACGAGCATTTCTGCTCTGGCAGTCTCAGGCTGAGTGTTCGACGCTAGGTTTTGAATCTGTGTTGGCCCCTTTTCCTTGAGCGTGAGCTGCAAGGAGCTCAACAGCAACGGCATTTAGGTCAGTGCTCTGCTTCAGTTACGTCAAGGTTGTCAGTGTGGACCGAGCCAGCCTGGTCCCCGAGGCTGGAGGATGGAATGAGTCAGGAAATTGTTCTAGGGATAGCACAAAAAACCGCCTTCTCCTTTATTGCCCGCCTATGCTTTGCGGACACCTTACTCTTCCTTGGTTGCATTTTTAAAAGCGTTTAGCATTGTACGATTTACGTTGTGAAATAATCTGCAAGTGTGATGACTCCATTGTAACATTCATAATCTAGCTTTTTGCTGTAGTTATTCCTTTGACTTTTACAGCAATGTTTTGAGGTTTGAATTAATGTATGAGGGTATTTTGCTCTGTTGGAGGAAGTTGTTTGCCTGACTGGAGAAAGATTGTCACTAAACTTGGCAATAACTTTGTAGTCTTTTTAGATTGATCTTGGGGTTTGATTTTAGGGCTTTTGTTGTGGAGAGTGTATTTTTTTTCTGTGTAAATCACTTCATCGGGAGTGTAAAGCTCTTTTGGGTATGTTGAGTAGAAGGAAATTATTTGCTCTACAGCCACTGAGACTGGTGTTTCTACATACACATCAAATGCAGTGTGTCTATTTCATTTATTTTTCAGTTGCTCTATTGGACTGTTAAAACTGGTCGAATAATGCAATCCACTGAATAATGATGTTAAGTAGTTTCATTAGGTTGTTATAGGTATGGAGTGATTTTTCTCACAGCATTTTAGGACTCTGAGTGTTGTGGTTTTAGCCCTAGTAATACTTACTTATGATTCAGATACAGTGCTTAGTTGTATGAAAATGAATATATGATCACTTTATTAATTTCAGTAATGAATTTTTAACTTCTTTTCCTTGTAATTTAAGTTTATTGTTGTTTGTTGTTTTTTTTTCCTGGGGTGACTAGAGTCTGTTGCTTCGTTTTGGGCTTCCACCAAGCATAAGCATGTGTATACTGCCTAAGAGATGATGTGGTAAAAGGTGTTTGTTTGTGTGTATGTGTTTGTGCTCTGGAGTAATTAAGTAGAAATTTTTCCTGCTTGTTAGCATAGACTGACTTTGAAAAGGCTATAGCATAGATTCCAGTTCTCTTATCAGTTAGAATTCGTCACTTGATTCTGTCAAGATTTCTAAAGCTAACTAATGCTTCCATTTTCTGTTCTGTCTCACCCCCCTTCTCCCTCCTCCCCAGCTTTTTTGGTAAGCCAATTTATATTTGGGGACAGACTTTTTAACAGGGCCTGTAATGATAGGACAAGGGGTAATAGTTTTAAACTGAAGGTAGATTCAGACTAGATGTAAGGAAGAAATTTTTTACAGTGAGGGTGGTGAAACACTGGAACAAGTTGCCCAGAGAGGTGGTAGGTGCCCCCTCCCTGGAAGTGTTCACGGTCAGGTTGGACGGAGCTCTGAGCAACCTGGTCTAGTTGAAGGTGTCCCTGCCCATGGCAGGGGGTTGGACTAGGTCCCTTCCAACCCAAAGAATTCTATGATTTCAGTATTTTCTATATATCATTACATACTATAGCATAATTTACTGGTATTCCTCATTTTTTTCCTCCCTGACATTCAAGTTGAATAAAGGAAAGTTTGGGCCAAAGAAAGAATCTAGACATGGGTTTTTCCATGTGCTTAAGAAAGAGTTTTCATGTTGGTGAAGAAAAGAAAATGAGGTTTTTAGCTTACAACACAGTAGAACTTCATTTTGCCTGAACAAAACGGTCTTAAAGTAATAATTACTACATGATGCAAACTCCAGTCACCAGGAATTGGTTTGGGTGGTCGAGATGTGGACTTGTAATGACTTTGGGATCTAGTTAGACTGCTATTTGTTCAAACATTGTTTTCTCCGGCATGTAGACTAGATTTGGCTTAGATTTAACTAGCAATGTATGAGCAGATGGCTTATTTCTGGGTTTATTGACATCCATCTTTACCTTTTTTAACTCTTTTTTTTTTTTTGTCCTCAACATAGGAAGAGTAGAAGTGTTTTCCAATGCAACTTTTGAAGCTGCTTTGGTTCAGGCAAGTGAACGTACAGATCTGATTTAACTTCTGAATCAGGGTGTCCTTTTGTTGCACTCTGTTTTCAAGCATAATCTGGCAACTTTGTGATTACATCAGCAGTAAAGACTTTAAAACAGTTTAAGTATTAATTCATTTTAATTTATTGTGGTATTTTCTAAAAGGCATATCTGGAATGGGCACTTTCCATGACTGAAGCCTCTTGGCATGTACCTCGAGCATGTAGTGCAACAGGAAACAAACTCTTCTTTTTCTGTTAGCATGTTCAGATATGGAGGAGAAAAATTAATCATGTAGAGGCACCCCTCAACCCCCAAGGTGAACTGTAACATGAGTGTTGTTTAAGGTCTGATATATATGTTGTTTTCAAAGAGTAGCATATCCATACCAGGAATCATTATCTGTAAAATAATTACAAATGTTGGGGAAATAATATTCAGTGCATATATTTAAAAGATTGTACTCGGGCTGAGAACATATGCTACTCATGTGTGTCTTCTAAAAATATTTTCACATGCAAATTACACACCTGTTCACTGCTTACGTCTAAGCAGATTGCCACTGCATGATGGTCCCTGAGAAACTGAATATGGAGTGGGAGGTACCAACTGAAAACTTTTGCTCTGAAGCTTTTGTTTCTCAGGTTTTATGTTTGCTTGGTTTTCCCTCTTCTTTTTCCAAAAACTAACAAAAGAACTTTAAATTTTAAACTTGCAAAGTGCTGTTTTGAAAATGCAAGAAGAAAGAAGTTAAATAGTTAATTATATGTATACATCTTTCTATGTTTAATGCTTAAATATGATATTAATGGTTCTGTTGTTAAATATATGCCACAAGAAAGCTTATTCACAATAATCTCAATTTTGATAATTTTTGTATATATAAAGTCAAGATTATTGTGATTGTAAACTTTCTTGCATTTCATAATTATTTTTAAGTCCCCAAACTTCTAACGTTACTGTTTTTAATGTGTACATGTAGTACATTGTAGTGTTTTAACCAAAAAGAGGGAGATCTTTTTTGAGACAGAGGTTCTAAAATCGGTAGCTAAAACATGAGGCCAGGTTCTTTTTTGTCAACTGCTAACTGTTTAAACCCTTTTTTCTGGAGTAAAAACCTTTTATGAGATATTTTTCCTGACCTTTTTTTTTTTTTTCCCCTATACTTTTGAAAATAAGTGCTACATTGTTTCCCTATTACTGTGTCTGTAGCCTTGACAGAGCAGGAGAAATCTATTCACTGGTCTGTGTTTAAAGGTAGACTTTTTTCTTCTTGGTTCTTAAGAGTAGCTCTTATTTTGTCATCCATAACAGGAGCATATTCTTTGCTCCTTAGCAAAGTAAGAAACTGAACACTTTAGGCCTGATGCAATGTTCTCAGAAATCATTGCAAAGATTTCCATTTGGGAATTGCAGCTAGCCTTCAGAATACTTTTTGTTAATTTTCATTTTATTCTTTCAGTTATTTACCTCTCTGTCCTACAGCCTGTACACTTCTGACTCCATTCTAGTAGGGAACAATAGCCAAAACTTAGTGGCTTTTGTGTCTTCAGAAATTAATTATTTTCAGGAATATTTCAAGTGGGAAAGTATCAATGATGAAATGTTGCTTCAGAAACCTGTGTAAAGATGGGTGGTGTTTGATATGATCATTGTCACTGTTATGCACTTGTGTCCTTAGGATTCTTCCAATAGTTAGGTTGTATTCCTGTGGCATCATGGGGTAGCATTGCTACTCTTAGTGCAAGTCAGCATTAATAGAAAACTCATTTTAATGTTCACGGAAGCAATTGAATGGGACCCAGCATGAGATAATATAACAACAGTCAAATAAAATCCATGTCTCTGCAAGGGCAAAGATCTTGACTAGCTTGATTATGATGGTAGGGGCTTTAAAAACTGATGTGAAGTTTGGAGATACGTTGATTAAGTCATACGAAATAAAACCAATTAGAGCAAGTTTTGAAATTAAGTGAAAAAATCTTAGATAGTATTTGATGCCAATATGATATGTTGGCTTCTGGTCTCATACTGTCTTTAATTGGTGTTGCTCTTTAAAGGCAGGTTATATTTGACTCTCCTTTTTGTTTGGTCTTTATTGTGGCTTTCTGTTCTTCTGCATGAAAGTCTGAGATTTCTATGGGTTTTGGTTTTGTTTTGTTGTTTGTTTGGGGTTTTTTTTAGTTGTGATTATAGTTTTAATACATTTTATCAATAAGGTGATTCATTAGTTTTTAGAATGGTGATTTTCAGCAATAGCAGCTGAAGGCAGTGTTTTAGAGGATTTAGGAAAATTGAGATGATGTAAAATGTGCTAATTTCTCTTTTGTGTGTATTTATAAAAGGGAAATCAACTCCAAATTGTATCTATGTAAGTATACACTATTTGATGTAAAACATGACTCTTTAAAAAGTATCTAATTGTTTCATTCT